TTACAGCTGAACATTTTATAATAGTAGAATGGTCCTTACTAGTGCTGGGTCTCTAGTAATGAGTGTCCTCAATCGTAAATAGTCACAGGGAAAATTTGTCTTCAGAGATTGAAAATGTTCCTGATCTGTTTTAACTTTGCAGGAGCACTTATATACCATGTGTGTCCAGAATTAGTATTTGACGAGGTGTGTGTACCACTCGTGTTTGTACATTGATTAAAACTGTTGTTGCAGAGCTTCCATTTACCCACTGACTTTCATCATCCCTTTGAGTTTGTTGATCTTCATTGTAATGGTGGCCTCGTTCATCTGGTTCATGTTGAGAAGACACAGTAAGTCTATTCTGAGTTTCATGAATCCAATCCATCAATATTTGGACTGTTTTTAATTGAAGTGTAGATGTGTGCAGCATTGTCATTGCACAGTGAGAGTCAGTAACAGGAGGTTTTACTGTTTAACTTTTAGAACAGACCAAAGCACCAGCATCAGCTGCAACAGCGGTAAGATATGATGATTTATATTATCTTTTTTACAACAAAGACTGTAAGGTTCCTCAGTATAGAGCCAGAGCTGCTATCATCATCCTTTGTGTTTACACTGAAGTGTCGGGCAATCATCAGAAGAGATGCACACATTCACACATTATTTGCAGGTGCTGAAATATTTTTAATAATTTACTGCAGAAAAAGGTGAAAAATACCTGCACACTGCAGCTGTGGTTAGAGAAGCAGGTTTGAAAGCAGTAGGTTAGAAAAGTAAAAGAGCAGCACTTGCTCCTCCCTCATTACTAGCACTAAGGTCTCCTTGAGCAAAGCTCTTCAGTTTCAGTTTTTTGTATTTACAGTCCTCCCTCCAACTCAACTTTAGAGAAAAAACTAAACTAATAAATACATGATTAAGCAATATATAATTCAAGTAATTGACAAGAAACACACAAAATGAATTCATCAAATCAGCAGACAATATGTAAAAATAAAAAACAATACACTTATAAATTATTATTATTTGCATACGGCTGATGACGTCATGACGTTGCAAGATGNNAAATCTCATTGTACTGTGTACAATGACAATAAAGGCTTTCAATTTCAATTTCAATTCAAAAAGAAAATAAAAAATTAATCAAGAAGTAATAAGACATCATGAGTTAAATGTCATGACAGTTTCTCTTCCCTCAAAAATGTGTACTTTGACATTACAGATCTGTACACTGTGACAATACTGGCCAGGTTTCATTTTATACAAGATACATTTGAAAAGGTTGCTAAGAGATTATAGACGACAGAGGACAGAGCATATTTACCACTGAACTACACGTCTGGTAATTATTTATATGATATACTGAATGCATGTGAAGAGACATTAATCAATCTTGATAGTTTCCTGAAGATCCCCAGTGACCATTAACTTTACTGAGAATGTCTTCAGAATATACTGTTTGGTTTAGTTAATTATTCAACTGTAATTCTACTGATCATGATTTTTATTGTTTTAAAATTATGTTTATATTCCATGTTAAATATTTCAACAAACATATACATAATGCGAATTGCTTCGTGCTGTTGTGCTTTGCTCTTTTTTCACAGGCTGAAGAGGAAGTATCATATAGTGCTGTGATGCATAAGAGAATAACTCTTGTCAAGGTAACCACAGTGATATCGAGACAAACCAAGCGTCAGGTTTTAAAATATATTATATTTGAAATAACTGTCCTATATGCAATATTATCTTAATCTCTAGTATTTGATTTAGTGAAGATCTAAACATTATATCATAAATAAAAGTTTCAGGTCACAATTTTAATCTTTGTTCCTCCTTTCTTTCATCTTCTGTTCTCCAACAGGTTGAAGCAGCAGATGAGGATGTTGCATACAGCGGACTGGCTCTGCACTAAATTTATGTCAGTGTTAGATCTCTCTGTAGCCTGTCTAGCCTTGAGGTTTTACATCTGAGAAGGCACACATGTAAAAGAAACTTTGACCTATTTGTGTGACAAGTACAAGCTGGCAGTGTACAGCGCAGCTCTATGAGTAACATCATCATAAGAGTGAAAAGAGCGAGACAGTAGTTGAAACCAGCAGTGTTATTGAATGCATACTTACCTTTGCAAGAAACTAATTTAGTGACTCATTGGCCCAGCTGTCAGTATCAGTCTGCAAGTTACTGAAATATGCACATCTTGAAATACAATAAAACATGACTGAAAAAGATGCTCCCATGTTCTTCTTTGTTTCATGTTATTCCATCAGTGTTTCCTGTTTTATTTTGTAATACAGTGTTCTGGCACTTTCCCCAATGTTGTTTGGACTTCTAGTTTGTTTTCTTGGAACTCGCCCCTTTGTAGACGGGCACGGCAGTTCCTTTCAGAGTACTGAAATATTAAGAATTGTTCATTAGAAAACTGAATTGTTTAGCAATTGACTGGAACTCCGACTGCGTGGTCCCATTCACTGAACTAAGGATGGTCTTTCATGGAGGATAAACTAATGAGCTGAGGATTTAGCTGGATAAAGGTACAATTTGAAAACTGAAAGTTCAGTTCCTGTTATATACATAGGGTTGTCATTTTTTCCAAAAATCACGTTTAAACAAATTTCAAAAGGCACACAGTTCGCTCGAATGAATTTGAATAAATTGAATAAAATCTCCGGAATTTCTCGATCTGAAGTTATTAGAGAAAAAAGCTGATAAGCAAATATTAATAGAAGCTTGTATGGCCTGTAAGCTTTTTTGTATTGATCAAGCTCTGCTTCTGAGTCTGCATTTGGGTCCTTTTTGTGTATTCCTGCTATCCTGCTTGAACAATTGCGATCAACAATAATTTTACTACTGCTTACAAGCATGTTCATTTGGTTTACTAAACACACACAATCATTTTTATTTTACAAATACCATTCTTTCTTAAAAAGTTCATCAACCTGAAGGTAGAACTCCATGGGTCGAGATTTGCATTTTTACTATTTTACTATTTTTACACAACTACTGTATTTTCTGGACCTTTTTAGCTGTATAGCAGTACTTCACTTCCTCCATGTCTTCCTGTGTCATAAGGGAAGTGATAAAGGGCATTTAGGTTTCTGTGTGTTTTGAGAGTTTATTTTTGTAGGAGGCACCTGTTTTGTCACAAATGCCATTCCCTTTAGTCTTTCAACCATTAACTCATGCTGTAGCTGGAGAAAATCTCCAGCTCTTAAGATTTGTGGAACCAGTTCTCAACAATAACATTGCTGTCCCAGGTTGTTCCTGCTCCCTCTGTCTTTAGCATGTGAGCAGCACACAGGTGTATTATCTGTCAGTGTCTTGGACATTAACTTTGTTCTGAGCACCTAACTTCCTTTTCTGTAACTGTAACCTTTAAAGCTCAAGCTGTTGCTGCCAGTCAATCGTCATATGAAGCCAATTGGTCCAAACTGTGGACACAAGTGCACAGCTTGAAAACTGGCAAGATGGATTCCCACGTGCTTTGTAATTTCATGATCTTGAGTCCAGCTGCCTAGCAAGATTACAGACACACTGGATCCATTGACGGATGTCAAGTCAGCGGCTGCAGGCTGATGGATACACCACCATGACTGACCATTTGCTGTATCTGAATTTGCATGACTTGGCCTCAACTTTAGAACCAAAGCTCTTCACTGTATGCCGCAATTTATACTCCAAGTACACTAAATACACACACAGTGTTTTTACACTTGGTAAAACATGTTAGTGGGGCATAACTGTCAGTCTTGCGCCAACTGTCTCACTTCCCTTAACATACTTTAGTGAAAAGTATGAAAAAAAAGATCTATAAAAAATAAGCATGTAATATCACCGTTACACAAGGCACTAGGTCATGTTGCAGAAGTACTCTATCATTGCTACAGTATATATGGTCATAGAATGTCAACACAAGCATGAGTACATGGGTTACATGAGTTATGCACAAGCACACAAGATTATATTATTTATAATATATCATTTATATTTATTACATGATTTATAATTAATATATATATATATATCAAGCAAAATGAAGGTTTATTGTCTGGCTATTGTGGATATCTGGACCAAATTTCATGGAAATCCAGTCGTTGTTGATATATTTTACCACTACTATACTGACTATAAGAAACATCATGGCAGTGGTGTACTTTGATGCTGTTTACAATGACAAAATGAAAGCTGACAAATTTTTATGGGATAAAAATATGTTTGCAGAAGTAGACATGCTAGAGAAATAAAAACCTTTTTATGGTGTTTCTTTTATACACTGTACTCCTAATGACCACCATCAGAGTTTTACTGAAATGTCCCTTTGACTAAAATAAGGAATATTTTGAGAAAGATTAGTTCACTTTTTCTTGAAGAGCTGCAACGGTTCTTTGGTTTGTGTGATGGCTATATGACCTACATATATTTCTAATTTACATGATCACACATACTTTGGTGCCGTGTTAAATCATTTTATTTCCCTACAGATTTACAAAAAAATATTTATGTCTAATGGAAACCGAGTAAGGATTTAAAGAGCTATTGTTTATAAAGCCCAAATGTACATTATGTGTAAAATCATTAAGAAAACTTAGCTTTAAATAAATTTGGATTCATATTATTTCAACATGTATAAATTATTATAGTATGTTGATTAACAAAGGATAAATCACAGATGTTTCTATTTCTGTTCTGCTTTTGGATTGTTTTTTTGTTTCTTTCCCTAATCTTTTTTTCACTTCTGCAGAGAGGATCATTGGCCTCCATTCAGGACATTTACCTCTCCAGAGTCAGGAAACGGGCAGGAAACATCACTGCAGATCCATCTCATCCTGGACACAACCTGTTCCAACTCCTCCCTCTGGTAGGCGCTACAGAGCACTGTACGCCAAAACAAAGAGACACAGGAACAGTTTCTACCCACAGGCCATCACTCTGACCAACAATAACCCTGAGACTCTAACATCCACTGAACCTGTGAACTATGTATTATTTATTTTTCCAATGTTGAAATTCAGTTTCTTTTTTAAAACATAACTACCATCATTCTAATACATCTACCTGTGCTGTGCATACTGTATATACTGTAGAACTGTAGAAAGTTGGTTTTATTTCCGCTTCCTGCGTTACTTTATGCTGTTTATAAGGCTGTAAATACTGTAGAAACCTGCACGTAAAATATTTCCGCATCCTTTGCACTCTGCACCATTGTCTACTGTCTACAAATGTTATTGTTTTTGTTTGTTTATATATGTATAACTGTACATAGTCTATGTCTGTTTTGTTGAGCTTGTTGTCTTGTGTATTTATGCTTAGTCTGTGTTTGTACAATGAGAGCAAGGTAGATCCAGAATCAGATTCCTTGTATGTGTGCACTGTGCACAAACCTAGCAAATAGAACTGATTCTGATATTGATGCCTCACACAGAAGTCAAACACAATGCTGCATTCACGGTACCTGTAAGGAAAACTGTTATCTTCAGTTACATCTCTCTGAAACCTGTGAACTGCATACTTTAGTTGTCTATATGCGGGCAACCAATCTGCTGTCCACACTAAAAAATAGTAACAGTGCAGGGGTGATACGAATTGATTGAAATACATCAGTTATTGGTTACATAACAGATTTCCATATTATTATTAGTGATAAACATTCATGAAAAAATAGGGTATAAGGCAAAATGCAAATTCTTACTACGCACATACCATCAGAAAGCTGGGATGGATAACATTTGTGGATGAAGTGAACGATATCTATGAGCAATTTTTGTACGTTAACATTTTTCTATAGCAGAGATGCCGTATTTACTACATTTGTTGTGTAACGTGAATGCAGCATTACAGTTAGCTCGGTAGCCGCTAGCAGGCAAATAATATGAAAATCTCATGAGTGTCGCTTCTTACATTTAGTGCCATATTGCACTTAATTGCAACAATGTTAAGATTCCGAAATACCAATACTGTGACACTGGTCATTTTAACGCTCGTTGTGGAAGGACTCGTATGATTAATTTAAAGCTCTTTCCTAATACTCATGTTATTGTTTGCTAACATTAACGTTAGCAGGCATGTCCGCTAGCTACAGTAAACGGACGCGTTGGTTGTGTATTGCCATGGTTCTTTCTTTCAACGCAGACACTGAGGATGTTCAGTGAACGCAAAGACACACACCGACAACTGCCACTAAAGGGAGTTGTCTGGCACAATAACAGGTACCTGGAGAGTCAGTCAGCCATACTTAACCAGCTATATTAATTAGCGTTAGTGTATTGCACTTGTTTTTAAGTATTGCTAGCGCGTGGCTTCACTTAGTTGAGTTGTCTGGACTCTCTGGTTGCACGCGCTTTTGTGCCAGATGAGTTCACGTTACATTAACGAGACTTTGACTATTATTTGGTTCATAAACTCATTTGACTGCCAACAGTATTTGTGCCGACTTTTGTGTCATTTTTGTTCAAAAAGGCACACAGTTCCCCCCCCTTATTTTACAATAAATTGGCATAATGTTAGGCATAGCTGTCTATACATAATGCTATTTTCTGCCGCTTTTATTTAATGTGTAGGTTAAAGCTACAGTAAGTAACGTTTATAAACAAAACAACCTTTTGTCATTTTTGCTGAAATTGTCACTGTGTTCTCACAGTAGTACTCGAGACAGATAATCTCTGAACAAAATCAGGTTCCTCTGGCTCATTGTAGTGCTCCTAATGGCATTTGCAGGAGTCCACCGGGCCTGAATGAAAACAACCAATCAGAGCAGAGAATGATATAAAGAGCTTCGGGTTGGAAGACTGAACATAGTTGAATCTTATTCCCAAGGTCCCAAGTGGAAATGCCATAGATGAGAGCAGCCCATCCAGGTACATAGGCCTTACATGAAGCCCCCGCCCCTTTTGGGCAAAGCAGCCCCTCCAATTTGACTGCCAGGAAATGTAAATTCCGAGGTCTTTGCCAATTTAATACCGTAAAATAAGAATACCGTATTGCTTTTTCGCTATTAGGAGCCAAACGCCTACGGCCAGCAAGGCAAGCAGTTAGGGTGTGTCATTGCCATCTTCAGTGTCATTACAGACAAACATTTGATGAGTGTCCTTTCAGTTTGCCTCCATCAAAGTGGACGGACCTGACAAACAACTCCCTTTCAGCTAGGTGACAGAAGGAGACAACAAGTTGGTTTTATATCCGCTTCC